TTGATTAAAGTTTTGTTTTTAAAAGAGCTATGACACTCAATATTGAAGTTTTAAAAGATTTTTTTAAGCTAGAATGCCAAAAGTTGACATATGATATGTCATTTTATTCAGAGTGTCATGTTTTATCGAATAAAGTAGAAAAATGCCGAGGTTTCCGTTTAAAAATCAAAAGTTGTAGTCATTTTTGGTGAAACCGGAAGGGACCGAAAAAAATTGAAAACGTTAATCAATCCTAATTTAGGTCATATACTAACACACCAAATCTCGTTTTTTTATCTGAAAAAATAAAAAAGTTATAGGGGATAAGCCACTTTTGAGACACACCCAGTATATGATTTTTCGTGTAAAAAAAATAAAGTGTTCTTGAATAATTCTAATTAGATATTTTAAATAATTTTTTTTCCAGTGGCGAATTTTCCAAAACTCAATATTATTTTTAAGAAATAATAAAAATAATTATGCTTTTTTTTATAATAAACTAATAAATAATTAACTAAGGCTAATGTGATCAGTAACATTTTGCAATGAAAATTAAATATTTACTTGAAAAATAATTCCATATGCATGCGAGACCACTCTGTAATAACGCCAAAATCAGAGTAATACGCCGAACGTGATCCGCCGTGTACGCTGGGTCCAAAGTCCACACACCAGTAATACACTGGGAAACACGTGCGTGAAGCGGCTTTTGATACCTGCCGCCGGCACAAGTGACGGAACTTATATTTTATTCTGTAAACTTTGATTTTAGTAAGACTCAAATTGAAAAATGATTTCTAAGTCTACCATGACGTCGTTTTTTTTATCGAATCATGTTAAATGGGCAGTTATAATTGTATAATTAACACACCCTGTAGAAATCTTATACTTTATATTCATCAGCACTTATGTTCATATTTAAGCCGCTGCACGACGCAGGCACAGGGTTCCTTCAGAATCCATCAACGCGTATTGTACTCCCGCTTGTTTAATAAATGTTTTTAAAAACATCTCCACAAAAACCTCAAAATTAACTGGGCTTCTGTTTTTCCTAATAGAGATAATGAATAATAACAGGCATATCGTATGATATTGTTAAATTTCTGTTGACTCTCTGTAAATAATAAAAAAATTAAATAATCTTTATTGGAGTAATTCAATCAGCTAGTATGGTTGTTGTACAATAAAAATATAGATATAGCCCACATATGCACAACAATTTATTAGCATTACACCGGATATCGTGACTAGATGCTATTACTAAACTACTGATATAAATAAAATTAATATACTCTTTAACAATAAATAAATAATTGTATTCTACAATTTTTATATTTTTTTTTTAGAAACCAGGGGTTCAAAAAATTACATTTTCAAAATATACATAAAATTCTCTGTATGTACTGAAATTTTAAGATTTTCTGTCTATATCTAGTATCTTTCCAGTTGATTTAAAAAAATCGGCGCCGGGAGGCACGTATAGCCGCCCATACTAAAATATGTTAATATCTCGAAAACTTCGACTTTGACTGATTTTGATGTTATTACAAATTTTGTTGCAAATATTGTTCCTAATCTTAAATTGAAAACCGCGTTTCGCTAGCTACTGTAATTTTAGAGTTACGATTTTTTAAAATTTTTAACCCCTTCCCATACCCCCTTACCAACCCCCCACCCCCACCAAAAACTAATGGCCAGATTCTCGGGTGCCATAGTATTTTTGTGCCAAATTTGGTTTAAATCGGTTTAGCGGTTTTTGAGTTATCGTGTTACAGACGGACGGACAGACAGACAGAAAGACACCATGAAAATATTTTGTATTTAGGTAATTTATGACCCAAATAATTCATTTTGAGTGAAATAAAAAAAACTTTTATTTTGCCCATCTTAATATAATAAATAAATAAAAAAAAATAATAAAAAATACGTCATTTCCCAGCCAACTGGACGCCGTTTTTTCTCGATCATACGGTATATTCATGAACGATTTGGGATAAAACTACTGTTATTAACTAATTAGAACCTGTAAATTAAGAAAGAATATCTTGTTTTGGTCTAACGAGTACCGTACTAAATACAAAAAAAGATTAGATAAAAATGCGTACTAATATTATCAAAAAGCGTTTCATCTTTCATCCTATACAATAAAAAAGCGAATTAACTTTTTGATGCCTATTTTTTATCGCGGTCTGTATTGTCGAGCACATGGCATAAAAATGTTAATATCCCCTGTTTTTATTGACAGGAAATTCATATATGAAATTCGTATATATGCATATAAAACTTGCTGTAAAGTGTCTCTAATAGAAATTTAATAGAATTTTTCTATTTTTTTCAGGTTATTCGGGATTTTTGCCTCCATTTCTCAATGTAAGTATTCTCTATAATTTATTTTGTCATTTAAAAAATAATCTAAAATTTGTAAAACGGCAATTTTTTTTTGTAAATAAACAATACAAAAAAAAAGAATCACAATATATAGAAAATTGTACCGTATGTACGCAAAAAACGGCTTTGAAGACACCATTTAAAAATAATTTTTACTAAATATAAATCAATCAAAACCTTCTTAAGGCCAACTGGCACTAAGCGCCATTAGGAAATAAAAAAGACTACGGGCCAAGAATAAATAACGCCTAGAACTTGACCTCGCCAAAATTCATCAATTGTCATTTTCCCCAGCCGACTTTGACGGCGTTTTTTTTTCGTTCGTATGGTCGTAATTTTTTCTTCCTATTTTCTGAACATTGTATGAAAAAAAATAGAGGAAATGTGTCAAACAACTCAAAAAAATACCTGCTCTAGAAGATGTGATATTTACTAATTAAGATAAAACTTTTTTTCATATATTTTCTCTAGGAAGTTTCAAAAAAAATAAGCAAAACTTTAGAAACTATGAGGGGAACTAAAAGAGCACAGAATATAGGAGATACAGTCAAAAAACTTACAAACTAATATAAACTTTTTTAACAAACTTTGATGCAGAGAAAAGTTGGAAAAGAAACGTCGAAAACAACTCAAAAAATGTCGAACATTATTATTTAAAATTAACTAATTAATATGAGACATATAATAATTTCCTTAAAAAATAATAATAATAAATTGTAGTATATTCCGAGTTCTTTTCGCGAAAAAAAATTTGAAAATTATTGTTTTTTTTTGTTTTTTGTTAAAAAACATAAATTAATGATAATAATTAATAGATTAAATTTACAAGAAAGAAAATCCAGAAAAAATCCAGTGGTTCTCAAAATTTTGCAAAAAATCATTTTTTTTGGAAATTTTCAAAGTAAAATTAAAACTCGGTTATATTTTGGATTTTTTTGAAAAAATCCAGAAAAAATCCAGTGGTTCTCAAAATTTTGCAAAAAATCATTTTTTGGAAATTTTCAAAGTAAAATTAAAACTGGGTTATATTTTGGATTTTTTTGAAAAACGATAAAGAGAAAATATGTTTCTTTTATACCGTGATCTACCAGCCCTGAAAATATTTGCACTTACTTAAGACTCACCCTGTATATTTTTATAAATAAACTAAAATATAATTGACTTTTTTGAAAAATGTTTCATATCTTTAAAAAAAATGGTGGTATTTTTTTTTTTTAATTTTTCTTTTAAACGAAAAAATATGTAGTAGATTAAATTTACAAGAAAGAAAATCCAGAAAAAATCCAGTGGTTCTCAAAATTTTGCAAAAAATCATTTTTTTGGAAATTTTCAAAGTAAAATTAAAACTCGGTTATATTTTGGATTTTTTTGAAAAATGATAAAGAGAAAATATGTCTCTTTTACCGTGATCTACCAGCCCTGAAAATATTTGCACTTATTTAAGACTCGCCCTGTATATTCTTATAAATAAACTAAAATATAATTGACTTTTTTAAAAATGTTTCATATCTTTAAAAAAAATGGTGGTAATTTTTTTTTTAATTTTTCTTTTACACGAAAAAATATGTAGTAGATTAAATTTACAAGAAAGAAAATCCAGTGGTTCTCAAAATTTTGCAAAAAATCATTTTTTTGGAAATTTTCAAAGCAAAATTAATACTCGGTTATATTTTGGATTTTTTTGAAAAACGATAAAGAGAAAATATGTCTCTTTTATACCGTGATCTACCAGCCCTGAAAATATTTGCACTTACTTAAGACTCACCCTGTATATTTTTATAAATAAACTAAAATATAATTGACTTTTTTGAAAAATGTTTCATATCTTTAAAAAAAAATGGTGGTAATTTTTTTTTAATTTTTCTTTTACACGAAAAAATATGTAGTAGATTAAATTTACAAGAAAGAAAATCCAGAAAAAATCCAGTGGTTCTCAGAATTTTGCAAAAAATCATTTTTTTGGAAACTTTCAAAGTAAAATTAAAACTCGGTTATATTTTGGATTTTTTTGAAAAACGATAAAGAGGAAATATGTCTCTTTTACCGTGATCTACCAGCCCTGAAAATGTTTGCACTTATTTAAGACTCGCCCTGTATATTTTTATAAATAAACTAAAATATAATTGACTTTTTTGAAAACTGTTTCATATCTTTAAAAAAAAATGGTGGTAATTTTTTTTTTAATTTTTCTTTTACACGAAAAAATATGTAGTAGATTAAATTTACAAGAAAGAAAATCCAGTGGTTCTCAAAATTTTGCAAAAAATCATTTTTTTGGAAATTTTCAAAGTAAAATTAAAACTCGGTTATATTTTGGATTTTTTTGAAAAACGATAAAGAGAAAATATGTCTCTTTTACCGTGATCTACCAGCCCTGAAAATATTTGCACTTATTTAAGACTCGCCCTGTATATTTTTATAAATAAACTAAAATATAATTGACTTTTTTGAAAAATGTTTCATATCTTTAAAAAAAAATGGTGGTAATTTTTTTTTAATTTTTCTTTTACACGAAAAAAAATGTCTTTGTTCTACCCTAAATAGTTCTATATTGGTTTAAAAAAAATATTGGAAAAGGGTATAAAAAAGAGAACATAGAAAAAATAATTAACAATACTTAACAACAAACTTACCAAAAAACTTTAGTCAGTCTTCTAGACGAATATAACAATTGTTGTCAACCAAAAACTCCACACTTTTATTCAGTTTCCAACCATCCCGCGTTCATTTCCGCAGTTCATCGCAAAGAAAACTCGGAAAATCATCGGAAAAACTTCGGAAAATGCGTCTTTTTCCCGACTGTCAATTGACAGACAGTTTCGCTAAGTTGGCGCGCGAAGAACTGAACGTTTTAGAGCGAAAACGCGCACTCGGCTCCAGTGAAATCGCGCCGCACGCAAGCACATCGCATTTCGCGAAAATTATCGCTATTTCCCGTGGAAAAGGGGGCGTTTTGGGCCCCCTAGGGTTCCGCTGGTGCACCGGAAAGCCCTATGTTGCACATACACGTTTTTAATTAGTTTAAAACAGAAGAATAGAGGCGTAAAAAGAGAGGTTTTACATAAAAAGGTTTGGCGGGGTTGCGGAAAGTTTGTTAATGTTTATTTTTAGTTACCATGTGATATTAATTTTCTTCTTTTAACATTGAAAAAATTAATTTGTCAATTTAATAACAATATTGATGGTTATTTTTTTCCACAGATTACTGTAGTAAATTTAATAGTAAGTAGCAACTGTTAAAATTGCCTTTTATCTATCAAAAATAGTAGATAAAATAGTACTTTAACAGCAAGGATAGGTTAAAACCTTTATTTCTTGACGCACGTTTTTTAGTTGCTTCCATTTTTGAAAATGTTTGTATTCCTTTTCATAAGTTATTCGGGATTTAAATGGTAAGTAGTATGGATATGGCCTCAACCTGAATATCTCTTGGTAATTTACTTATTTCGTTTTGAGCCATTTCTGGCTCCAATTCAATCAGAAATCGACACGAAAGAGAATTAAAAAATATTGACTCAAAACTGACAACTAAAGAGACAGCTTTATTTATTGGCTGTACTTAAACTGCCGTTAAAGGGTAGCCTACTGAAATGCCGTTAATAGGTATGACGTCGTTGATGTGACGCGCTTGACGGCTTTTTAATGCTTTGGTTAAAATGCCTTTAGAGCATTTTAAGGTCTACAGTTTCAAGAAATTTCCCATTTGTGATGTCTCTAATGATGTTACGATCCTTAACGAAGCAATTCAGGATTACATTTTGTTTTTCATGATAGGATTGTTTACCAAATGCCACAGTACATCTTTTCTTTTTCTTTGGTAGTCCTATGACTGTTAAGTCCTGTCCTTTTGGACGTCCTCGTTTTTTTTATTGAAACAGGCATCTTAATTGTTGTCAAAGCGAAATCATTGACTTCAACTATTTGATGGGACTGGTTGTTGACGTCATTTAAAACTGAATCACTAATATAGGAAAGTTGATGCGCTTCATCTCGTGTCATTTCCTCCTCTATAACCAGCTCGTTACAAAACTCAGGTGCTTCCACAGGTGACTGACCAAGATTTGATGTACTTCTATTATCTAATATGAGCGCTTCACTCATATTGTTTCTGTCTTGAAGGTCCGTCTCGTCACGAACCTCAGAGTGTTCCACAGAAGACTGATTTTTAATTTCAAATACAACTGCATCATCATAATTTATATATAGCATCTACTGCAAGAAATTCTGGAAAAGCCTTCATTGTACTTTTCATGGTTGGACTTTGAATGCAAAGTCCTCTGAAATTATTGTCTTCGTCTCGCAAAACAGCTACATCGGCACCTGAAAACAGAGTAGTTATTGGGACTAATAAGACGATAATAGAATATTTTAGTTTACCGTATTTAGCTTTAAGTATATTTAAGCAGCCATCTAAGTTTTCTTTTCTTGATTGATCGGATATCTTCATATTTGTTAAATCTTGTAAAGTAACAATTTTACCAGTACTTTCTTGAACTTTTTGCTGTATCATTTTTCTATTGGCCTTCATATTCAAATAATCCTTGACGCTTTCCTTCATGTTACTGGAAAGTTTTCTTTGGCTAGGGTTATGTGCATGTAGAACCTACAAAATATATCTTTTATGAATAAAATACTGTTCAAGCAAGAATTCTAAAAGCATACTATATGTCAACTAATCTGTAAACTTATCTTCGAAGTGAGTGCTTTTCCATCAGACGATGCTTTGAATCTTACATGTACTGGGCAATCTTCTTTAAATGTCCAAGGCTGTCGATTTTTTTTCCCACTGCCCTTAAACTTCTTTCCACCGTGATTACATGCATATAGAAGTTGATAATAAATCAAAGAGCTTTCTATTGGTCTCACAATTTTACTGCTTGCAATCGTGCGGGCATCTCGTTTCCAAAATGTTGTGTACGTATTTTCACCAAGTTCCTCAATCGCTTTCTTTGCGTCAGCGAATGAGCTGAACCTATCCTCAATTTTCAGCATGCTAATTTCAGTCATGAAAAATAATTCGGTACCTAACTAAGCTAAATGTTTATAGATAAATTAACAATCAGAAAACACTAACTGAAACACTTACTCCATCCTGAACCGGTAATATCCAGATGTACACCTTAATTAAAATCAACTTATAGCACTTAGCACAAATTGTAACTACAATAATAGTGCAAACGCGACGAAAAAAACATACCAAAAGGATGCCAAAAGGGCAACGGAAAACGGAACACAAATTGATTAACGGCATTTTAGTACGCGACCGTTCGACGGCATTTTAACCAAAGCATTAAAAAGCCGTAAGTTTGACATTTAATGTCTTTGACATTAAATGTCAAACAATCAGACAATTTATTTCCTTCTGTTATGAAACTCATGCATACGCTCCAGCAAAAAAAAATTACGCCACAGACAAAAGGAGATAATTAAAACAAAATAAATGCTTTAAAACGACTGTTACTTCACCTGGCAGGACGATTAGCTCGACTCCGACGAGCCCTTATCTGAAAAACTTTCGTTTTTGATTGAAATTTATGACGCGAACTTTTTACTACCACCGTTCTATAGTTGCTTCGACCGTTGTAATCTGTCACGGGGAAAGATTAATTTTACTGTGCTTCACTACTGTAGGGCTTTATCTCCCTTTAATTTGAATGGACTGACAATATAAATACGATTTCACAGTGCATTCTCTATTTTAATTTCGTACGTAGCGTCAGTTTTTTTTAATAAAAAAATCATTTTTCTGATTAGGATAATATTGTTGTTTAAGTGATAAAGCTTTACCGAAATCTTTCTATTTTTTATCTGTCAAAATTTGAACATATTATATGGCAGACGTTTATTTCAGTGATATAAATATCTGGCAATATTTTTTTATAAACCTGTCAAAAAAAAGCAGAAAAAAAGCAATAAATATCAATTTGGTTCTGTTTTACTTCCCGTCTCCCATCCTCTTTAGCTGAAATATATATGGGGTAAAAATAAGGTTATATTTCTAGGGACGTACTAATATATCGATAATTTAATATATCGTGTTAAAAAAATATCGATATTTTAGAACAATGTTTCCCTGTCAACGAACAAAAAAGAAGGGTGTATTTCTAGGGATGTGCTATTATATCGATAATGTAAAATTTCGATATTAAAAAAAATATATCGATATTTTAGAACAATGTTTCCTTGTGAACGAACAAAAAATAATGGTATATTTCTAGAGATGTGCTAATTTATCGATAATTTAAAATGTCGATATTAAAAAAAAATCGATATTTTAGAACAATGTTTCCCTGTCAACAAACAAAAAATAATGGTGTATTTCTAGGGATGTGCTAATTTATCGATAATTTAAATATCGATATTAAGAAAAATATCGATATCTTAGAACAATGTTTCCCTGTCAACAAACAAAAAAATAAATGTATATTTCTAGGGATGTGTCGATAATTTAAAATGTCGATATTGAAAAAATATCGATATTTTAGAACAATGTTTCCCTGTCAAAAAACAAAAAATAAGGGTATATTTCTAGGGATGCGCTCTAATAATAATATATCGATAATTTATAATGTCGATATTAAAAAAATCGATATTTTAGAACAATGTTTCCCTGTCAGCAAACAAAAAATAAAGGTATATTTCTAGGGAAGTGTCGATAATTGTATCGATAATTTAAAATGTCGATATTAAAAAAAATATCGATATTTTAGAACAATGTTTCCCTGTCAAAAAACAAAAAATAAGGGTATATTTCTAGGGATGTGTCGATAATCGAGAAAAAATATTGATATTTCAGAACAATATGTTTCTCTGTCAAAAAACCGATCTTAAATTAATTATCGATGAAACAGCTATATTTCTTTTTCTTATATTATAAAAAAAGATAATAGTTATCGATATATTTTTTAAATATCGATTTTTTTCAAAATACCGACATCCCTAACGCTACCCGTCTTCTGCCGAATTCCATATTATCTAAATGATCGACAATTTGTCAGCAAGTTTGCCCAAATAAGGACGTGAAATATCAATTCCTTTTATTGGCCTGTCGTTTTCAAAAAGATTAAACGGATGATATCGACGCTTTCCCCCAGAATTACTTTATTATTAATGGGAAAATCCGAATTTTCATTGATTTCCCCCCGTTAAGTATGAGAGATTTAACCGAATCTGTGCTTTATATACACTATGTCCCCGAATTGTCTTTACAAGAGAAAAAACTTTTTTATTATAGACATTTTGAGAAAATGCATTCTTCATAAAAATTTTTGCTTGTTCCAAAATGGTTAATCCCGTTTATACTTTTCCAAAGTTCCATACCGTTTTAGAGAAATTTAAAAAAAGCATGAAAATATGCTATGTCCACGGAATATTGGGACACCCTGTATAGACACCTGGCTGGCATTGTTAAATCACAATTTTATGTCAAGAAAGATACAATAATAATAAATAAATGCTTTTATTGTCAAAACATTTTACAATTTTTAGACAAAGGCAAAGTAAACAAACAAACAAACAACATTTATAAATGTTTACAATGTCAAAAAGAACAAAAAAATAAAAATAAGATTTAAAAATATTTAGTAAGTTTATACTAAATATCAATGACCTCTAGATAAATTTACCTCGATGTCATTGGTAAATAGAGTAATAGCAAACATTAGACCAGTGTTTACAAGATTAAATTCGATTATCAAAATATAACTCATTTACAGCGTAGAAAGCCTTGTCTACTAAACAATAAGATTTCAATGCTTTGCGAAATGAAGAAAATGATGTTATGGATTTGATTTCAAATGGCAGGTGATTGTGCATTTTTTTCGAGTTGTATAATATTGAACTTTTAACTAACTCTG